CATCCGCTTTCGGAAGCCCAAACAAAGACGTTTGGGCACGGAGGTGAAAAAAATAGCGTTTCAGGCGGTCGCGCACCGGACGAGAAGCGCAGCGCCATGACTAAAATGTAAAAAGTGAAAAAGCATAATAGGACCCCTTTAAAGGGTAACATCATGGGGAATCAAACTGTCCTTGATCTTTTAAAATAAGAGTTCATTTTATTTTGAAAGCATACTATACATTTTGGAAATCAAAGCTTCCTCCCTAGTCTAAAAAGAGCATTTATTGAAACAATGCTGAAATGACTCTTTCACACATGACTGCCCATATTTACACATCAAAGAGGCATATTCTGTGTTCTTAAGCTGGGCCTTCTCAGTCATGAGGTAATGTAGAGGAAATAAGTTAGATGTAGATTATATTCCTAAATATATGAAGAACTAGTGATAAGACTTAAAAGAGAGTTTAACAAACCTTGTGCTGTTTCTGGCTGTGTGTAGCACCTGCTGCTCACCACCTAAAATATACTCTCAAAATGAAGTCGAGATGAAACAGAAGTAGCAACAAATCTTTTCTTCCATATTGTGATGTACATCTGAGTGAAACGGATTATCTGAAGTAAAAAAAAAAAAAAGCGGGACTTGATTCAGTCCATCAGTTGTTGATTGGATGGAGGCAGATCTGAATGTGAGCTTGCAGTTGATTGTAAGAAAGGGGTGGCAGACTGAATTATCAGAGAAGTTCTGTATACATCACCAGAGAAGTCTAATGTTTCATTAGAAGATCGAGATGATGCCAAGACAAGCCAAGGTCACAAAAAGGTAAAAATACAACAAAGATGAACTTCACAATAAGATCAATAACATGCATGCAGAAAATAGATAAGGTGAATTTTCACTTAATGTTGACCAAGTGTTCACACAACTTTTTTTTGTTTACCTAGTCGCAAAAATTACTCTTTTCAAAGTTAACATGAATTTACATGTCAAAGATCTTTATTCAGTGGAAGTGTAATAGATGGATGTTATTATTCCTAAATTTTCAAAAACTAGCAATAGGACTAAATGTGGGAGAGTTCAACCAACCTTGTGTGGAGTAGCACCTGCAACTCTGCACTTAAAATATGCACTGTCCCTTAAGCAGTCACTCAATGTTTGGCAACATTCATCATCTTTATCAATTATCATAAGTTCCAAAACTTGTTATGTGTCAACTGCCAGGTTACATTGCTTACACAAGATGTGTGAAATAGGCCTAAGGATCAAAGAGGGGGGCGTATGGTAAATAGTTATAAGCAACTAAATCATGACTGTTTGTGGCTCAGAAAAACTTAACTAACATTTTAAGTGGACATCAGGGGGGGAAAAAATCAAATACAACAGTATGATGTAACCCCTTGAATGTGTTGTGTGGCCTATATTACACAGCACTTATCTGTGTATGATGTTATTAACTTTAATTATAGCTTGTCTAGGAACCACGTGGGGTGTACTCTTACAACAATGTATGCATTAGAAAAATATTTTTGAACTGGTGAGATGTTTGTGGCGAACGTAAGGCCAACAGGCGAGGAGGGAAGTGTAAGTCAGCTCTCCAAAGGCAGTTACGGTCTGTGTGTTGGTGTTGGAGTGGTTGCCAACATTAGTCAGTCTCTCCGGAGGGGCAGCATTTGACTCATGCGCCAGCATCACCGCCGCTGTCCTTAATGTGTTTCTCTTTATATTTTAACATTCCGCTCTGAACCTCACCAAAACAAAAAACAACCTCACACACACACAGGGCCACACATCCACTCCAGGGCTTGTTTACGTCCAGCGACGGCTCCAACGGCAAGGGTTGACTTGCATCTTTATGAAAGCTAGTGTGGTGGGGCTGGAGGCCTAGCAGACAGGATTACTCATAAGCAAAGCGTGTGGTAGTTCTTATTTTTGCAATGTGGTATTGGCTGCGATGGTTTGTTTTTCATTTTTTGGACCTGTGTGTGTTTCACAAGAGTGAAGGCATTATAAAACAAAAACCTTGTGTGCCTTAGTGTTGCAGGGCCTCATGGAGGTGAAGTCTCCGTATCTAGAGGAGCTGTTGTCCCTGCTTATGACCATCGGTACGGAGACCGGAACCCCAGGACACACAGCGGGCCCAGTTGCCATGGTGATCTCTCTGCTGCTTCAGGAAACAGAGGAGCGAGGGGTGAAAATAAAGGTGGATTCCAAAACGTAAGAGCACAATGAATCACTTACTTCCTCATCATAGATTTCCTTACTGTGTGCTGGTAATACTGTTTCTAGGTGGGGAAGGAACACACAGTAAAATTGGTTTGCACTTGTTTGATCCTTGTCGAACGGCCAAAGTTACCATAGTAATATACAGATTAAATGCACATCATGCATAGTGTGACTCTATGAAAAACATTTTTGGCTTTTGTACCCCAGCAGTAAGATTCAAATACCCCTGCGTCAACAGCAAACCAGAAATGTGTTCTATTACCTCTTATACTGCAGAGTCACAGTCTTGTCCATTTTTAATTAAATATCAAGTTCATAACATTTGTGTTTATCTATATACACAACTGTATGTACACACGTAACTGTTAAGTCTGGCAAATTTAATAAGAAATTAATGTTTTAATTCAGCAAGGATGCATTAAATTGAGCAAAAGTGACAGTAAAGACATTTTTAATGTTGAAAAAGATTATGTAGGGAGGCCAACCAGTTGGAGTGGAAAAAGGAAATGACGTGCTGTACAAAAAGTTGATGCAGAATCCAAAAAATGGTGTTTTATTGGAAGGTGCTAAAATATTTACAGTGCAGGAGAAAACAAAAATAAACAAAAACTGTACAAAAGAAAAGAAAGCAGCAACAACGTGCTAATTTTGGCTAAACCAGATGGCCCAAGTTTGCAACCCTGCTCAGTATTAGAGTTCACAATCAGAACTGAAATCCTTTCAGCCATCACGCCTATTTATAGGCTGAAGCCCCACCTATAGAGCCTACCAACTATGTACAAACGTTTTAGGTTGTAATGATCAAATTAAAAAATATAAACACCCAACACAACACTAAAACCTTCCAAATAGGTAAAACAACAACCATTAACAGAGAAAGAGTTTAACAACTAATTAAATAGCAAAAACAAATTTTTCCAAATCCCCTCCCCCTCTGACATCACACCAAAATGGTATCTTCCACAGGAAGTGATGTGGCTGTCGCTTTAAAAAAAACAGATTAACCTGGATTATGGGTTTGGTTGAACAGAGTGTGAACCGGGAAGTTTAACTACAAAAAAGGTTTGTGGCAAGTATGTGGAAAAATAAAGGTAATTATCATATGAATTATTATGTGTTCTGGCATTCTGTTATTTTTAGAAAAATAATAGCAAACTTTAAGGAAAACTATCAAGAGTTGAAAACTATAACAAAACACAGCAGCAACAAACTTTAGACTAAACAAAACAAAAACTCCATAAAACTTTCCTGAGGTGTACACAGATGTTAATAATGCCGGCAATGCACAGTATCAGTGACATGGGTGTATGTTTGTAAGTCCAAGTTTATAGAGTCACCAGGTTAACCTGTGACAGATTATATATCAAATAAACATTGTTCTTTTGAACTTTCTATTCATCAGAGAACCCCAAAAAAAGTATTATGGCTTACACAAAAATATTAAAGGAACACCCCACTATTTTTGAAAATAGGCTTATTTTCCAACTCCCCTAGAGTTAAACAGTTGAGTTTTACCGTTTTCGAGCATCTCGCTCAAAAATGACCAAAGAGTTTCTATATTTTTCCTATTTAAAACTTGACTCTTCTGTAGTTACATCGTGTACTAAGAAAACTCTTGAAACTCTAGAAACTCTTTGGTCATTTTTGAGCGAGATGCTAACGGTCTAATCAGATTCAATGATCTATGCTAAGCTACAGCTAAAAGTGCTACCGCCAGACCCGGAGATCGGCTGAATGGATTCAAAAACGGTAAAACTCAACTGTTTAACTAGGGGAGTTGGAAAATGAGCCTATTTTCAAAAATAGTGGAGTGTTCCTTTAAGCATCACAGCTGTTTTCAATATTGATAATAAGTAGAAATGTTTCTTGAGCATGAAATCAGTATATTCAAATGATTTCTTAAGGATCATGTGACACTGAAGACTGGTGTAATGATGCTGAAAATTCAGCTTTGCCATCACAGGAATAAGTGGCATTCAAAAATATATTCAAATAGAAAACTATTTTTAAATTGTAATAATATTTCTGTTTAACTGAATTTGATCAAATAAATGCAGCCTTGGTGAGCATAAGATGCTTATTTCAAAGAATCTTACCGACCCCAAATGTTTGAACAGTGGTGTGTATTTTTTGTTGATGATGGGTGTGTGTGTGTTTACTTGGCAGCACTGAGTTAAAGAAGCCTGGTTCTTGTTCAGGACTGTTGGTCGACTGGCTGGAGTTGCTTGACCCTGAGGTGACCTCTGTTTGCTCGGATCTTCAGCAGAAGCTGCTTTTTGCTCAAAACAAGGTAAAATAGCTTCTCTTAACTTATCATGTGGGTGTGGCTGCGGGTTTTAACTGATACTGCGGGTTTTAACTGATACCGTATTGGCCCGAATATAAGACGAACCTGATTATAGTCGAAAAATGTGAAAAAAAAGTTTAAAATGTTTCTTTGCACATTCCTAATTACAAAGTGATGCTAATTTCCCATTTTCTGATCAGCCTGAAAACCTTGTGGTGGACCAGAGCCCCTCCCAGCCGATGGTGAAGCTGACTGATTTCGGCGATGCGGTGCAGCTGAACTCGACTCCCTATGTTCACCCACTGCTGGGTAGCCCAGAGTTTGCGCCCCCCGAGCTGGTTCTCGGGGATCCTGTCTCTCTCTCATCTGACTTTAGTAGTATATATACATAATGTGTAGGGGTGCCACAGCAAATAGAATGAATCAGAAAAAATGAAGCGTATGATTAATATTCCCCTTTTTAATGGTTTACATTTGTTTTCTTAAACATAAAATACAGGCTAATTATGTTGCATTAATCATTTCATTGCTTCATGGCACAAGTAGTTTATTCATTCACTCATATGTACATAAATATAATTCTTGTCCCTTTTCCCAATATTGAGATTTTTAGCTTCAAAACAAATGTTGCGAAAATGTGAGAAATACTTCTGGAACCAGTGAACGGTTGCTGGATTTAATTGCGTTTTTATACAAGATCAGTGTAACTTTGTCATTGTCTGCCTCAGGCTAAAAGTGGTGTGAGTGTGGCCCCTTCCTACAGGCCGTACCTGTTGGCTCTCCTCACTCACCAGTCCAACTGGAGTACCTTACATCAGTGCATCAGCTCTTTGCTCAACAAGCACAGAGACCAGAGGTTAGTGGCTCCTCTCTTAATTAAACACATTCCCCTTTTTCTGTTCTCATATCTCCAGTGTGTGTAACTCTGTTTCTTCTGATCCCCAGACTGGACCCAACCTCAGCTCTAGACTTCCTGTGGGCCTGCAGTCACATTCCTCGCATTTGGCAGGGGCGAGATCAGAAAACCCCTCAGGTCTGGTCACAGTTAATATAACATCACAATTTTGTAATGCATTTACATAACACTTATTCAGCATCTTGGCTGGATTGTATTTTCTTATTTCACATGCAAATATTTTAGCCTATCATAACAGGGTCAAGCTTCCCACAGTTTTGAATATAATTTTTCCTGGTTATGCTTGTCTTTAAAATATTTTATCGGCTAGAAGGTGCTCTTGCAAATGCAGTTTTTACAAATAAGCATAAACAACTTATGTTATGGAAAACGTTATAGAAATGAATTGGTCAAAAGGTGTGAGAACCCTGCTGCTTTACATGTGGAAGTCTTAAAGATACAGTAGCATAAACAGTCTGGTTTATTTTAAGGACTTACAGGAGAGTAGACAATAGTCATTTCAAGTTAAATTGACTGGTCTAAGAATATAGTAATTTTGTTATGGAATAGGCCCCTTTATAACTAGTTATGTTGTTAACCAGACCCAAGCAATATTTGTAGTGGTCCAAAGATCTAAAACTACAATGTTTAGCCACAGATTGTATATTTTTATAAGTGTATATTGGCCATAAGTGGATAAGATGGGGTTTTGTGTGTCTCTGCAGAAGCGTACGGAGCAGTTTGTGTTGAAGCTGTCTTCTGAAGAGCTCATAAGCCTGGTGGACCTCATCCTTTCTGAGTCAGAGCTGAGCTGCCATGACTCAGCCACCTCCAAGAGCGCTTTGGACCAGGTCTCCTGCTCTCTTCTCCAGTCACGCTTGCCCCTGCTGCATAGCTGTCTCCACTTAGACCTGGACAATGTCAAGAAAGTCTCCGAGTACCTCATCAGCTGTGTTAAGAAGTGGGGAGACAGGTAAATTTTTTTGAGTTTGTACAGGACAAAAAAAAAATCAAAATCACATCATTTTAAGTAAATCTCTCAAAGAACTCCATGCACAGGATTTATTTCATAAGATGGGTAGTGAGCTGTCACTTTCATTAAACTTCAGTTTAATAGTCAGAGCAATGGTCTAGCGGTTAGTGTACATGCTGTAGACACAGTGCATCTTGGTGGTCATTTTGGAAATACAGGTACAAGTCTTTTCAGTGTTGTTTCTTGATCCCAGTACCTTTCTCTTGTTCTTCTCCATAATTTTCAGCTCAAACTGCTTTAGACTTTGATTTGTTGATGATTTTAGCCTCAAGTGTGCTGTCTGTTTGTAGTTTTTATTAACTTATTAATATTTTAAGAATTTTTAAATTGCAGTTTATTAGAACACATGAGAAAGTTGGTGCATTTATGCATGTGACTAAAACATTGATAATGAATGTGTGAAGTTTTAACTTCAATATGACATCCACACAAAATTTAGGATCAGTAAGTGTTTGTTTTTTTAAAGAAGTCTCTTATGCTCATCAAGGCCGCATTTATTTGATCAAAAATACAGTAAAACAGTAATATTGTGAAATATTATTACAATTTAAAATATCAGTCTTCTATTTTGATATACTTCATAATATAATTTATTCCTGTGGTAGCAAAGCTGAATTTTCAGCATCATTACTCCAGTCTTCAGTGTCACATGATCCTTCAGAAATCATTCTAATATGCTGATTTATTATCAGTGTTGGAAACAGTTGTGCTGCTTAATATTTTTTGGAAACTGTGATTTATTTATTTTTTTTCAGGATCCTTTGATAAAAAGTGAAAAAGAACAGCATTTATTCAAAATATAAATTTTTATTTAACAAAAATCTCTGAGGTGGCATTTCGGTTATAACCAGAAACTAAGCCTAAAACTTTATTTTACCTAAAACTACTAGTATTCTCTTGCTGTCTTGAAAGCTCTGCTGTTTCCTTCAGGAAGTACAATTGTAGTTTCTGTACTGGTCTAGCTATGAAAAAGTGGAAGCAAAAGCCCCCCAAAACAGCAAGGACAACAGTGTCAGAGGTCAGGGTTTGTACCATGTTGCAAACACTCACCACCATTACAAAGCAAAGGCACTGAACTTCCTCCTTAAAGGCCCTCAAAGAGGCTGATAAATGTATGTGATACCATGCCATTCCTTTGCTTACAGCAGAAATGCTCTACATCAGGCACAATAGCGGGAGGAGCTGTAATTAGTTCTTGTGGTGTGAAATGAGAAGCGGCTGAAGTCGTTGAGCGCTGTGATCTTCTTCTTCGAGAGAGAGCTCAGTGTAGTATAATGAATGCACGAGGATTAAGGCTCCGGCTCTTCCTTTGGCTTCTGTTGTGAGTCGCAGCTCAGACTGGGGCTGTCAGAGAGATCAGACCGGGGCTTTTTGTGGTGGCAGCCCCCCTTCCTTTCATGAATTTGCCTTTGGTTATTAAACCCCCTTAATGAGGGGGAAAAAAACTTTGGACAAGGTCAGACAAAAAATTACTCCCAGAAATACGATATTTATAAGTCTAGCTAAGCTGTCTTATGGTCGAGAATGGGCTCGGGTAATGCTGGCATGTAAAGCGTGTGTTTGGTGGAATAAACGGTCGTGTGTTTGTTTGGCATTCTCTCCATATCTGTTGCTTGTGAGCACAACAGCGGATTAGCAAGCATAAACCACAATTAAGCAACAAAGTTGTCTGTAAGAAGGCCTTCGCTTGATTGGACAAGCAGACAAGACTGTGTGTTCTTCTGTTGGTAATATAGTCTGTTGTTGACACTGGCTGGTTTTTTTATAGTTAGACCATCTCTTTTTAACCTTCATAGTGTTTCTGGGTAGTTGACGATACTTTTAGAAAGTTGTAATTAAACGATTTTACACCGTATTTTGCTTTCTCTTTAATTAATAATTATAATTCTGCTTTAAATGGATCAAAATAAATAATATTTATAATATTTGTTAATATAATTCTTAATTATTTAATATATTGTTCTCAATGAAAATTGTTATTAATACAATATAATAATTATGCATAAAACAATGATGACTTCATGGTTTCTGGATGGTTGACATGAAATACTTTCGGTTGTCTTTTCTGTGACATGCTATTGATTCTCAGTCTAAAAGTATTAATAAACAGCATCTTTTGTATTTCCGAAATAAAATAGTTGGTTGTGGAGGAAATTTTTTATTTCTATCTGAAATATTAATATTATTATTAGTATTATTTGCTTCACTGTTCTAAAGAGTGTTCTTCAGACTGTCTCTTGAGTACTTCAGTTTGTTTCAGTATGCTTGAGTTTTTGATGAGCTGAGAGATAACAGGAAATCTATTTTGTGTGTGAGTGTGAGTGTGAGTGTGTGTGTGTGTGTGCGCGCATGTGCAAGACAAGTGTGAGACGAGAAATGCTATTTTATACCTAGCTTCTCAGAAAATAATTTGCATTAAATACTTAGAAACGCATCTAAGGGACATGGTTGGATACCTTAAATAAACACACATGTTGAATATGCATTATGATTGGATGAGATAGAAGCATCCTGGTTTGATTAGGATATAAATACTGAGTCAGAGTGTTATTCAGGGTCGCACTCTGCAGCCATGACTATGACTGTCACCTTTTCTTGCAAGAAAATAAATATTCAAAAGACTTTTGTCTCATACCTTTATTGAAATAGAAAATTGCCACGACATTGGTAAATAGTAAAAAAAATAAATAAATAGCATTGCTATGTCTTTAATAAATAATTATGATAATTGTTAAAATTATATAAGATTCATAATTCTTATTATACGTCGTATTTATTTAATATCTTGAGGTCAGTAATAATTATTATTAATATACAAAATAAAAAGTATGCATAAAAAAGATTATTTTATCATTATATTATTGGGAAAGTTTCCTGCTATGTGACATGCTATTCTCAGTCTATTTTAAACAGCATTTTGCAGATTTAATTAAGAAATTATATTGTTCAAAAGTTATTTTCAAATTCAAACGTTAATAATATTGGTGTAATATATTATAATATCTATTGTAATTATTTTATTGTTTATTTAATAGTGTTTTCATTTAATAGTATAATCGTATAGTGTTGCATACAAATTTGATGTCTTCATGTTAATTGACTTTTAAAAATTAATTTGTCACACCACAGAACCATTTAAAGTGAACTAGTGACGGCAAAAGTGATTTCAAAATGGTGAAAAACAGAAAAGAAATAGTAACCAGTCACAGGACCACACACATTCATGTACATTTTAACCTAAACTCTTGATGATAGACAACATGGTTAAGTCTTCATGGTTTAAATGGTTGTAAAGTACTCTTTGTTGAACTTGACATATTACTCATGCAGCCTCTCCTGTAATCATCTGCAATATAACTTAGTCACAGCTGTTGTGTGTGAGTGCTTTTTTTTTTGCCTGTTTAAGTTGTCCTTATTTATTGTGTTCATACGTGTGGTATGTCCAGTATAATGAGTAAGAGGTGTCAGACGCTGCTGCTACAGATCTACCTGCACTTCCCAGAGGTCATCCAACACATCCACCTACCAGAGGCCACCCTGAGCGGTGAGGGGGCGGCAGACGGCAGCACCTGCAAGGTAACCGCTGCACTTTATGACACGTCAGGCCATGAGCTTCCTGTTAACGGCACCTGAAAGATTAATACTCTGCTTATTGTCTCTGTGTTTATGTGCACGTTCAGCTGGATGTTCTCGTGCATCGTCTCATCACTCTGCTAGCTGACACAGGAGACTCCAAATCAGCTGAGAACCGTGCGTCTGATGCCAGTCTGGCCTGCAGGAAACTGGCCGTATCTCACCCTGTGCTTCTACTCAGGTTTACAACACAAGCATTTTCCATTCAGTTTAAATGAAGAAGAAGAAGAAGAAAAAAAAGAAAGAAAGAAAAAAAATATATATATATATATGAGGGAACTGCAAGTGTTTCATGAGTTGCTAAAAAAGATAATTAATTAAATCATAAAAATATAAAATGACAATAAATAGTTATAAAAACAATCAAAATTAAACATAAAAAAGATCCCAACCTCAGAGAACCATGAATATGCAAATGTGTTAAATTATTGAAATATTAACTTAAAACCTGTCCATTTCTGCATTTAATTTAATGAATATTTAGTGTGAAATAATATTGCTTTATTTATTTATTTATTTTTTAATACACTGACGTTTCATTGGTACATGACAAGTATCATATTATTGATTAATGTTATTTTACATTTTTGAAATGGAGAAAGTTATTACATTTTAAAGAATACAATTTGGAAAAAATTTAATATTCTAACTGTAATAAAATAATATTAATAATTATTACTAGGGTTGTCAAGCGATTAAAATCTTTACTCTAATTACATGATGTGCAGGTTATTCAATCAAATTAATCACAAATTAATTGCACATCAGTTTGGGGATGAAAAATTACCCCCCAAAGGATAATTTAATGCCATTATTGTGATGAGAAACACATTGAATAGACCTTACAAAAAAAATGTAGCTTTAGAAATAAATATTTTGATTCAAAATAGGATTTTATTACACTGAAGCTGCATCTGAAATGTCATGGCAGGTTTGGGCCGGGGCGGGGTGCATTAAATACGTTAAGAATTATTATATTAAATAATATAATAATACAAATATTGATGGAATATTTTTTTTTTCATAATTATGCCATTATGTCATTTATTACGCAAGTAAATAGGGCCCATTTAAATTTCATGTCGTCTGAGAGTATATGTGCTGAATGAATAGTGCTGCTTGTGTATTTCAGACACTTGCCCATGATCACTGCGCTCCTGCACGGTCGCATCCATCTGAACCTGCAGGAGATCAGGCAGCAGAACCATCTGACCTTCTTCAGCGATGTTCTGGTTGTCCTAGAGCTGCTGCAGCCACTGGTTTTCCACTCTGACCACCAGAGGGCACTGCAGGACTGTCTGCTGTCCTTCATCAAAGTACTGCAGGTAGAAAGACCTCCTCTAGTAATGTACACTGCTCGCATTTTTTTAACGCAAGGTTTAGTACATAGTAACATTCATAATTTTTTCTCATGATAATGTTCTTAGCACGACAGACCTCTCACAGTTGCTTATCTGCTAAATCAATATTTGTTTGTTATAATGAAACCGTACAAGCCAATTGTAAAGAGCTGGTGGGAACATGTAATGTAATATTTTTGCAGAACTTCAAGAGATCATCCCGTATGCCCATCATAAACAAATTTGTACAGTTCATCCAAAAGTACATAACCCATGATGCAGCATCTGCTGTGCCTTTCCTTCAGAAACATTCAGATGTGCTACAGTAAGAGCCTTTTTGCTTGCATCAATCATTCCTGCATTATCAAATATGTTAAATTATTGAAATATTAACTTAAAACCTGTCCATTTCTGCATTTAATTTAATGAATATTTAGTGTGAAATAATATTGCTTTATTTATTTATTTATTTTTTAATACACTGACGTTTCATTGGTACATGACAAGTATCATATTATTGATTAATGTTATTTTACATTTTTGAAATGGAGAAAGTTATTACATTTTAAAGAATACAATTTGGAAAAAATTTAATATTCTAACTGTAATAAAATAATATTAATAATTATTACTAGGGTTGTCAAGCGATTAAAATCTTTACTCTAATTACATGATGTGCAGGTTATTCAATCAAATTAATCACAAATTAATTGCACATCAGTTTGGGGATGAAAAATTACCCCCCAAAGGATAATTTAATGCCATTATTGTGATGAGAAACACATTGAATAGACCTTACAAAAAAAATGTAGCTTTAGAAATAAATATTTTGATTCAAAATAGGATTTTATTACACTGAAGCTGCATCTGAAATGTCATGGCAGGTTTGGGCCGGGGCGGGGTGCATTAAATACGTTAAGAATTATTATATTAAATAATATAATAATACAAATATTGATGGAATATTTTTTTTTTCATAATTATGCCATTATGTCATTTATTACGCAAGTAAATAGGGCCCATTTAAATTTCATGTCGTCTGAGAGTATATGTGCTGAATGAATAGTGCTGCTTGTGTATTTCAGACACCTGCCCATGATCACTGCGCTCCTGCACGGTCGCATCCATCTGAACCTGCAGGAGATCAGGCAGCAGAACCATCTGACCTTCTTCAGCGATGTTCTGGTTGTCCTAGAGCTGCTGCAGCCACTGGTTTTCCACTCTGACCACCAGAGGGCACTGCAGGACTGTCTGCTGTCCTTCATCAAAGTACTGCAGGTAGAAAGACCTCCTCTAGTAATGTACACTGCTCGCATTTTTTTAACGCAAGGTTTAGTGCATAGTAACATTAATAATTTTTTCTCATGATAATGTTCTTAGCACGACAGACCTCTCACAGTTGCTTATCTGCTAAATCAATATTTGTTTGTTATAATGAAACCGTACAAGCCAATTGTAAAGAGCTGGTGGGAACATGTAATGTAATATTTTTGCAGAACTTCAAGAGATCATCCCGTATGCCCATCATAAACAAATTTGTACAGTTCATCCAAAAGTACATAACCCATGATGCAGCATCTGCTGTGCCTTTCCTTCAGAAACATTCAGATGTGCTACAGTAAGAGCCTTTTTGCTTGCATCAATCATTCCTGCATTATCAAATACCCTCAGTGCTACATTTACTTTCTTTTTGTAAGTTATTTCTTTTCATGTAAAACGTTTCCCTGTGTTTTCTCTCAATCTCAGGGGACTATCCACTGAGAATCCGGACCTGGTGCAGCTCAAGTCTTTGCTCGCTGGACTGACTCTGCCTGTGAAGTCTGGTTCCTCTGAGAGCGCTGCTGAGGACAGAGACGGTAGGGGCTCCAACACCTCACATCACAAGAGACAGAGCTACATGTGAGATGATCGTCACCAGAGCCTGTCTCTCACTCTTTGTATTTCAGCTGAGGATTCGTCCTCTGGCTCCCTCCCTCTGGTCAACATCGCAGCCTCCATGCCGCTGACTGCGGCTGACATGACTAAATGCCTGAAGAAGATCTCCAAAGGAGAAGCAATTGAGGGTGCGATAAATGAATACTGTTTTCAGAGCACTTCCTAATATACTCTTCTTGAAATAGACCCACATTAAATCATACTTATTGTTCATATTTTCTGAAGAATTCTTAGATTAGAAGGCATAGATTAAATTAAATTAAAATTTTGATAAAATTAAGCTGACAGTACTACACTAATGTTGGAAGCTGAAAGACATTTTTGTCTAAATGACATTAAAAAAGGAAGCAGTAATAAAGACAAGGGAGAGGTGTGGTGGACTAAATTGTAGGCATTTGAATAGTGCAAGTTATGCAATAACTTCTTGTTCTTATTATTATCAATATTTATTATAAAATATAAATTAATTATACAAATAAAATTGTAAAATTAAAAATGTAATATAATATATTATATTACATATTTAATAATTTATTCAGTTATATGTATTGTTAAACATAAATATAAATATATTACTTTTGTTATTATAGTTTTAGCACATTATTTTATTATTATTAGTAGTAGTATTGTTATTATTACATCAATTTGTATTGTATATAATGTAGTATAAACATAAAACATAAATGTAACATACAAATAGGATTGGAAATAAAATATTAAATATTTTAATATTTCTATGTATTCAATTATATGCATTATTAAAATATGTATTCTTTTTTTATTAGTTACTATAATTAACTTTATAAATAACATTAGCATTACATGCTATTATTATTATTTTTATTATTTATTATAACTATAACAATTAATGTTATAGTTATGTTATAGAACTTCTGATAGATTAGTGCATTCCAAGATAGCTTAACTTCAAGAAGAAGAAACTTTCTACAATATACTGGCAGTGCTCCAGACTAAAATTACTTTAAAATAAAACAAAAAAAGTAACAAGCGTTCAGAAAGAAAACAAATGCATTACAATATTTAATAAAAACCAAAAAGAATTAAAACAACACATCATTATTATTTATTATATATACATTAAATATTAAAAGAAACAAAAGTACAGCAGTCTGAAATGTTTTGGCTCCCACTTTTTTCAACAAAAATAAAAAAGGTTTTGGTAAAGTCTTTTTTCGTCAATGATATTGCATGTTAATTTAGTCTCAGTTATCGTTTAATGACCTTATTATCATCTAAAAAACCTCGTTGCTGAACATTTTTCGTCATAGTTTTCGTTAACGAAATTAACACTAATATTAAATAACAACATGTGCATTCTATAGGGTTAGGATTCGAGTTTGGTTTATTGTAAGTTGCGTATAATACTACATAATTTACTGTAATTACTACAGTAAGTACATGTAACAAGTACACTGTAAAATGAGGTATTACCTTTTTTATATATTGTGATGTTTTACTTTTGTCTTTTTTGTTCTAGATGTGTTTGAGGGGTTGACTGAAGTGGATGAGAAATCCAAAAGAAATCCAGAAATAATTCAGTATTTTGTTGTAAGTACATTGCACAATGCACACAAAATTGCACAATAAACAAAAATTAGCGAGATTTAACAAGTACAACCAGCTTGTCATGTATTATCAGAATGATCTGCAGAGGTTGATGAGTTCCCCTGAAGAAGTGTGCCGCAACATGGCGTTCAGTCTGGCCCTGCGGTGCATCCAGAACATCCCCAGGTGAGGTGCCTGCAGGCAAGTATGTAGTGTGTATTAAATAGAAATGTCATGTAGAAATACACTCACCATTATCTTTGCTAACTCTAGTATGGCTGCTGAATTCCTGCCAACATTCATGTACTGTCTGGGCAGCGGGAACTTTGATGTAGTGCAGACGGCCTTGAGAAACTTGCCTGAATATGTGCTGCTCTGTCAAGGTAATACAAACTGATGATAACCTTATTATAAGAAACCATGGTAATTGTTTTTTGCTTGCTGTTGTTGTATAAATATTTTTTTTCATTTGTTAAACATTTTAAGCTAATCTGACAGCATCTGTCAAATGCTGTTGATTACCACAACATAATTTTGACTCATCCCTCAGTAGGAAGAGGAAATTCTGGAATTCTCAGAGGCATTTTGAAGGCTTTTAAGCACAAATATGCAGCTTGTATTTTCGTTAATGTGATTATTTTCATTTTTCTGAAAACAAAGTATGTATGATTTAACCCTTAAATGCATACCTCGGGTCTTTATCGACCCGGGACATCATTCTCTACCCTCTCCCTCCTTCATTTTTTTAAGTTAGACATCCACTTTCTTAGTATTCCTCAATCTATTAATTATAAACAATATAACAAGAAATAAAATAGTAAAATATAAATGAATGCCAGTTTTCTGATACATTTTTTGTAAAAAGTGTATAGGGTCGCTAGAGACCCGAGGTATGTAAATGTGTAAGTATTTTTTCCTGCACAATTATATTTACATATCTGATGACTCAATGTGTGCAATGCATCTTTTTTCCTCAAGGTGGCACTGTTTGATACACAATAATGACGTGACGTTTCACTCATAATTACCGCAGGCATAAAACAAACAAACAAACAAAAATTGAACTGGTTTTGAATGGCTTTACTGCAGAGCAACTACTAAACGCAATGAAATATAAATGTCACTGTCATTTGATGCTGGATGTGGTGAATAAGCTGCCAGTGATCAAAATATTGAATATGAAGTCATTGAAAACGATAGTTTTGAGAATATGGTTGAGATCGTGAATATGAGGCAGATGCTGAATGTACTGTGGAAGTGCGCTCTGACGATGTCAGCGATGGTAAAATCATCTGCTCAAATTGAACCCTTTTAAGTTTCAAAAGGTAACGAAATATGCTTTATTTTATTCTTCTGTAATTGTTCTTAAAATATCAAGAGAGTGTTTTTGCTATTGCAGCAGTTAGAGATCCATCCGTGCTGTATATATAGGTCCGGGTCGCTAAATACCCGAATATGTAATAATGATTGGCGAAACATTCATGCATTTAAGGGTTAAACACATGTGTGTGTTTTTTTTTCTGTGGTAATGGACATCATGCAACAGATTGTCAATTTTTAAGATTTAGTTTTTATTTATTTAATTTATAAGGAATTATCTCGTTTTTGTTTTTCCCCAGAACATGCCGATATTCTCCTCCATAAGGCGTTTTTAGTGGGCATCTACGGTCAGATTGACACCAGCTCCATGATAGCAGAATCCATGAAGGTCTTGCGCATGGAGGCAACGACATAGACATCCGTTTCAAACATGTTGGTACACAGAGTTTCTCTTTAAATCAGAAGTGTCATGCTCTGTTGATCCTGTTCAGAGCTGTATTCAGATGCAGCATTTAACAATTACATTTCTAGACGTTATTCTTCAAATATTGAAAAGCATTTTATGTTTCCAGTGATTCTTGTCTGCTTGGAGTGAAGCCTGTCATAAGTCTTTTTGTCTACTGCTTTGAATAATAAAACAATGAGTTGTAGAAATGCTCCTAAACTTGTTTTTTAGTTTTGTTTTACTTTTTTAACACTTGAAGAGTGGCATTGTTTGTAAAATAACGCTTTCCATAGGAGGATAGGGGAAGGCTGTGATCGTTTTCCTTTGCATGATTGCAAATGAGTGAGCATGAGCTTTTCGACCCCCCTTTCTTCACATTTTATCCCTAACAGATCTCAACTATGCTGTGAATGCTGTGATGGAAGTCTATTTGCCATGAAAGTGCAAGTTGTTGTCGTCTAATGTCACAGATTTCATCTGTGTGGAGACGAGAAGGGAGAACAGCGTGCCAATGAACGCTGCTCTCAGCCTCGGCTAAATTAACCGTGCTGGTAATTGTTCAATCACACACACCAAAGATCCCTGTGTGAAGAGTGCATGAGGGCTGAGAGTGAGTGTGCGGGTGTCTGGTTACACTGGGGTCTGAGGAAGCGGGTTATCTGTGTTTCGTAGAGGGCGATCGATGGACATGCCCGCACTGGCGGCTGGAGGACTGACAAGTCCAAGTCCACCTGATGAAAGGAGCTTCTTCCTGTGTTCCGTTTCATGCTCTGTGCTCTGCTTTTAACATGTCATAAGTGGAATTTGTGAATCTTCATCTCTTCTGTGTTTTGAACTCAATGCCAGGCATGTTCCATTATTAGGGTGCAGGGAAGTATGTACATTTACTGCTAAATTATTGACTCGTGAGTTTAGCACGTACAGGATGATTATTGTTGTTATTAAGGGAAACACATATAAACATTTGCTGTTATAGCACAAGTGAAAATCAGTAAAATAGTGAAAAGGTATCATTAATGGAAAATACTCAATGTCATGATAAGAATAGACTATGAATTCAGATTGAATGATTCGTATCAATTGGCCAAGAATTAGTTATGAAAAATAATGGTATTTGTAATGTACACTACTGTTCAAACATTTGGGCTCAATGAGATTTTTTTTTTTTTAATTTGGAAGAAGTGTCTTATGCTCACAGAGGCTGCATTTATTTAATTTAAAAAATATTAAAAATGGTAATATTGTGAAAAATTATTACAATTTAAAATTTTCTATTTTATTATATTTTAAAATATAATTTTGTAAATGTAATCAACAGCATGTATTTCAAATCTTTTGTAACCACTTTTGATCAATGTAATTTGTTCTTGTTGAATAAAAGTATAAATTTCTTGAAAAAAAAAAAAAGAAAATCTTACTGGCGCTAAACTTGTCATCATTAGTGTATGTTTTACATGACATTATTAAATAATTAAAATATTAAATTAAATAATAAAAACACCAATAATAGCATTTCGCTGGCCACTTTCTGCCACTTTCAATTTTGTTACCATACAAGTCTAAATGAAATAGTGCCCAAAAAAATCTCCCGTTAACAAACTGACATAACCTTTCATTGATCAAAATACATACACAGATCAATATTATCCAATGACAAAATATTTATTTTTATTTTTTATTTTTATTTTTTTATCTCAAACCATAATTTTGTCTGAAACCTTCTCCTTTTAAGAGTAAAATCTTTTTTTGATCTTGTTTGTTGATTGCAAACCTTACTGAAAACAAATAGAAACAAAGTTGACTGAACATTCTGCTTATTTTGAGATAAGCACCTCCTTTCACAGATACACCAAAAAAAAAAAGTTTTACATCATACAAAATATGATTAGCCTCCTTTGAGTTGTTGTGCCAAAGAAAATTGCCACCATCCATTCACATACTATGATAAATTAGACAAGAAAACACCCTGCAGTCCGTTCATTTGTTCAAATTTGTGCAAAAAACCTTTTTGATAACAGCGATTTGTGCATAAAGGGTAGATGTCATAATTGTCTTTGCAAGTGTTATGACTACTTAACGTTTAGCTAATTTCCTTGGAGATGCTGTAGTGTAGTCAATTTTCACCATCATTTGTCTTGTGTTGGATGTGCTTGATCAGTCTTAATTGCACCAGTAAGGTGTCATATAACACAGGTTTCTTTCAAAAGTGCTGTTAGTGGAGTTTCATCGGCTCAGACACTTTTAACTGCCTGTGCTTTTGGTCAGGTTCCCAGGCAGGTTCCTATAGGCTGGCTCGCGCTGGGGCGGAACGGAGATGAGTGACAGCATGGGTGGGGTGTGAGTGAGGAGTGAGTGTGATGAGCCACTGACACATCGATAACCACTAATCTTTTCTTGCTGCTCCGTAAAACAGCTGCACTGCTGTATGTTGTCTTTAACTTTTTTATAGTTTGTGTCAGGTAAATGGCTCTCTGTTCCTGTAGTGGATAGGCTGATCATGGGGCTTGCAATGCCAAACACTTGGGTTTGATTCCCAGGGTGTGGAAAAAATGTGTAGAATTTATATTGAAACCATTTTGACTCAGAAATTGCTTGTAAATTTTGAAATTATTTACAAAGAGATGGTAAGTAATACATTGAATTAAAATGTGAACTGTTAAAGTAGAAAGATTATTTATTTATCTATTTATTTATTTTACAGTGTATACATGGAATGCACTGAAAATAATTTTAATTAAGGATATTCATGGAGAATTGAATACAATAAAATCCAATTGGTCTGATTTGTTAGGCTTGGTCTGAAGATGAGCTAGACCAATTTTTGTGAAGATTGCGTACATTTTTAGTAGCAGTGAAAAAGCATTAAAGAAATTAATAATTTACAGTATTCTACATACATTCAGGAATATTTGGAGACATGAATCTGGAGTTTAAACCAAAGTTGTATAAGTTTTAGCAATATAAGTTTAGCAATAACCCTAGTTTTAGTGTCATACGTAAAACATTTTGTTATTGGAAAACATTTTTATTTATCAACACATTAATCAACATTGAAATTTTCTATATTTAATTGTTCATTTACCTTATTTTTTACATTTAGATTGCCTTTCATGTTATTTAATACTCATTGCTAATCTTTAAAAACATTTCTATTTTCATTCTGTGCATTATAATGTTGATGCCTCTCATGCTGCATTGATTTTTGTTTTTAGTGAGTTAATTTTTTTTTATGCAAAAGAGTATAGTTTAATATTTTCTTTAAATGGTTTTAATATTTTAGTCTTTAATTTATTAGTTATCAGCCATAACATGAAAATAAGTAAAAGTATATTGCATAAAGCAGAATTTTCATATTGCCCGTCCCTAGCAATTTTTGTCCATATTTATGACACTTGGCCAATAGATGCTGCTGTCACCAAATTGCTCTTGTACATTAAACACATAGTTGCAAAAGACAAAGATACAACCCTCAGATCATTGCTGTTACACATGATGATGTTTTACTCTCCAACAGTTTGCCAATATAAGTTGTATAAATTTGACCAGTTATTGTCTTAAGGCCTTCTCACCCAAATTTGATGAAGATCTGAGGTATTCTGCAAAATGATAATAAGAAAATCGGATACAAGCAGGACTTTGATGAATAGGAAATAAAACTTGAAAATGTGTGGATTTCATTGCAATAGACCACAATTTTCTAACTTCACTTTTCTTCACTTTCTAACTTCACTAACTTCACTTTTCTTCACTTTCTAACTTCAAATGGTCCCAGTTTAGAATCCAACTATTGTTGTATCAGTAACTCTTTTAACTCTGATTAATTACCCTGATAACTTTTGTAAGGCTAGCAAATATCCACAAGTACCAGCAGGTGACCACAAATAAATGGAAGAGCCACAGTGGAGCAGAGAGGAGTGAGTGAAGCACTGCTTATGTCTCACCTTTGGGAGGGACAGAGATGTGCCGCTACCTGCCTGTGCACACCTGTCGGCTCTGTGTTCCTCAACAGCTCCTTCGCTTAGATCATCTCCTCTTCCTCCACGCATGAGTTGTGCCTGGCTAGCGTGGAAAAAATGTGGACCGGCTCTCGCCTCCCTTTTCCCTTGTGCTTTGAAGTGTAAAGTGTGATTGCTTTTGGATTGCAGCCGCTCTCCTTGAAGGTTTTGACATGAAAAGCAGCCTGGGCTCTCAGGTTTATCCCATTGCCAGTGATCCAGGACTAAAGCAATCAGCTCCACTCCCTGAGAGATACAATTACCAGAGAGATACTAAAGATAACTAAAATATTCTTACCTATATATCACTTTTGTTGAGAATTACATGATTGTTGTTTGAATAGGATGTAATGACCTTTGACCAGATGCCTGACTAGTATCTGTAAAGCATGTTTTAATGAAAGGAAAATGGAGAGAAAGTCATCCTGTTGTAACGTTAGTGGCTCAAATAATGGATCTGCATTTTCAGTTGCGCTTGTAAGAGTGCAGCAACTGTTTTGTCTGAAAATTAAGGCATTTTCCCATGACTCATGGACAGTCATCCATCATGTTTAGTGTTTCAGGTGTTGTGTATTCTTAAGTGTCACTCCAGTGTGTATTAATGTTATTATGCATTGTTCCAAGAGCCTGTGCTGGCATATCCTCAGGAGAATTTGATCACTTCAGAGCTGATATCAGAGACTGAGGAATGACCTGAGCATTTATATGATGAATTTTTCAAAACTACATTTTTTTTAAACAAAATACCCTCAAAAAAAA